CCTGCAGGCGTGGTCAGAAGGGAAAGTGCAGTATGAAGGATTGGGGGTATATCTGCCTTTTTCCAGCTCCATCCTTAGAGGGTCCACGCCGTGGAATGGTGGCGGTCAGAGCATCCATCCTGCTGTCACTGTTGGCAAACAGAGCTGATGTCTTCACGCTGAGAGAATCAATTTTGGTAAAGACAGGAATGGATTTGCTAGGACAGCACTTCCTAATTCGTCTTCTACAGAGCCTCAGCGCCCCTCGAGATGTTAATAGTCCTTCTGAAGAACTGAAAACTGAGGGAGCTCTTTCACCATCCAAAAAGACGGAGAAATTCTTCCTGTTATGTGCTGTTCTTGGGACACCAAAAAACATTTATATCTAAGAAATTTTTCCATAAAGACAGTAAATAGTTTCAATATGGATTTCTGCCAGCTCCTTTAATTTTAGATCCGTATTTTCTCCACACACAAAAAGCCCAATAACTTTGAGACAGACACAGTTTGGGAAACCGGCATCAGGGTATTTGTGGGAGTGGGTGGCTCTGTGGCGGACATTGACTCTCAGTCTGCTCTTCTCTGCTGCCCCCTTTTGATGGATAGAGGGAAGAGCAAGTTTCAGCCACTAGGGACTGAGGAGAAGACAGGGGGTTGGGGCCTGTGCGAACTGGGAAAGAGAGAGCTCCACATCAGTCCTGGGGGTTGCTCTGGCCAGCTGTTCTGCATAGTTTTTGTGGCCGCTGTTCACTGCTTGCTCATGCTACATCTATGCCTGCCCAGGTGTCCCTGGACCCCGGAGGGAAGGGAATATGGGTATTCATTCAAAAGCTCATCCATCCATCCATCCATAGAAGTATTTATCGAGTGCTGACTATGCACCTGGCACAAAGCAAGGCGATAGGAGAGTGCCTCTGGCGGAAGAACCAGACTTTTCCAGACCGTCTGACTGCATTCACTGCACCTGTGCCTGACCTTCCTTCTGACTCGAATATCCTTCCTTTCTAAATGTGAATCTCAAGGACTGAACTCTTTGATCAAGACTTCCTTCCTCTTATCACATCCAACAATCCTCTTTTCACAGCTTTCCAGATCCCAAATACTATTTCTTAAGGACATTTTGCTTTTCAGTCATAAATGGATCCTCGCTCTGGGAAGAAATTCTAATGGAATTCCTGAGGTGCAAAGGTGTTATCCTGTTGAGCATGAACCTTGTTAGGGTCCCACAGAGTTTTTTTCTGACGCACAGTCATTATTGAGAAGTAAACTGATTCCTGATCATTTCTTCTCTTAGCTTTGTAATGACACCACTAAGAAGCACTCCGTGTGAGGGCTGAAGGGAACCTCAGACGCTGTCGAGTTCAGTGCCTCTTTTTGGCAAGTGGAGGAGTTGAGGTCTCAAATAGTTACGTCAGTAGCCTTAAAAGGTCACATAATTAGCCAGAAGTGACCTACTCAGCAGGTTTAGGTTGTAAAGGAAGCCGTTAATTATTACGCAGTAGAAGTATTAACTTTCATCTTTGATCTTTAAAATTATCAAAAGCCATTTGTTGACTCGTGCTGCTGACCCTGAGGTGGTGCTGGGGCTCCCTGGGCCCTGCAGAGGCAGCTCTCAGGTCGCCTGCCTCCTGACAAAGGACTGAGAAGGAAGGGGACTCGTCTGAGGTCAAGGGGCAGGTGAGGAACAGGACAAAGATTAACATTGAGCCCTGGTAAACATTATTTTCTCTTTCCTTCTCTTAAGTACTTTCTTTCTATTTCCTTCCCTACACACCGAAACTTTTAAACACCATGGTGGGCAATTCAAAATGTATGGAACAGCCGAATTTGCCTGGGTCTGGGAATTAGATGATGAGTAAATTTTTTGGTGAATATTCTGAAAGAAATTTTATTTTCATCATCATCCTAATGTGCGTTACACACTTCCCTGCCTTAGTTAACACGGGGTGGGAACCAGATGGAATGTTTTCTGGATTACTCTGGGTAATGAGTGTGGTACAATGATGTCCTGAAGAGCAACTGCTGTGTGAAGTACAAACCAACTTAGCTCCTTCCACAGCTGCTTCTGGCTGGTAGTCCCCAAACATTTTTGCTCAAGTATACCATAAAAGAATCGAAAACTCTGGAAAAACTCTGTACCTCTTCACTCATTTTTAAGCTGACTTCTAAATGTTTTTGCCGTAAATTTAAATAGTTTCAAAGTCCGTAGTTTCCAGGGTACTTGTATTACATGTATATTCTTTAAATATATTCCTTAAAAGCAAGGAAATCTCGACTCCATCTGTGGCTAACATCTGTCACGTATTGTAACAGGCTTCAGCATCAAAACAAACAGTCACACAATACTGATTTTCCACCAGGAAACATTTGGACTCATTTTTAAGTTCAAATAACCACACGGATGTGCATCTTCTGTGACCGTCTTCTCGCTTCTGAGTTCTTGTTCTAAAATAGATTGATGAAATTGGAAGGAAGGGAGGAGGTTTGCCCTGAGTTGGAACTGGAGACCTGAAGTTTGCAGGAGGAGCGGGCAGTCCCAACAGCTGTCTCATATCGGAAAAATCGTGAAAAGCAGCTAGAGCCATCAAGCCCTGGAAAGGTATCTGAAATGCATATCACCGAGTGAAAGAAGCCATTCTGAAAAGGCTGTGTGCTGTATGATTCCAACTGTGTGACGTTCTGGAAAAGGCAAAACTATGGAGGCAGTAAAAAAGATAAGTGGTTGCCAGGGGTTGGGGCAGGGAGGGACAAACAAGTGGAGCACGGAGGGCTTGGGGGCGGGGAAACTGCTCTGTCTGGTTCTGTAATAGTGGATACACGTCTTTATACATTTGTCCAAACGCATCCAATATACAACCCCAAGAGGGAACCCTAATGTAAACTGTGGACTCTGGGTGATAACTATGTGTCAATGTGGTTCATCAGTTGTAACAAAGGTACCACTGTGGTGGGGGATGTTGATAGCGTGAGGCTATGCGTGTGTGGGGATGGGTGGTGTATAGGAAATCTCTGTAGCTTCTAAGTTTTCTGTGGACCTAAGCTTATTGTAAAAAAATTAAGTCTATTGAAAAAAAAATAGACGGGTTCTGACCAAGCTCAATCTGAACTGGTCTGTGACTGTCTCGCAGGTGGTGTAATAACAGACGAGCTCCCTCTGGCTTGGGGAACCATGTCGATGCCTGCCTGCTGTGTGTGGATGCTGTTATCTTGCTCGGGCCAGAGAAGGTCAACCCTTCTGGACTGTGGATGTAATTTCAGGAAGCAAGTGGAAATTTCCACCATCGTCCTGAGAAAGAACAGAACTAGAAACCCAAAGTGAAAGCTTCGAGGTCAGGGGTGAGAGTGGGTGGGGTGGGAGGGAGACGTTCTTGCTTTGGGAATTTGGGGAAGAAGGGTTCAAGAACGAGAGGGAACAAGGCGCCCAGGGAACTCTGCTGGAGGCCCTGCGGTGAGAGGAGTTGGCTCCTGGACCAGAGGCAGGCGGTGGACAGCAGTGAAGTTCAGGTGAGGACAGCCCCGAACCCCTGAGCTGTTATTCTTTCCACAGATCTATTCTACTCTTCAAATCTATTCTACCGATTTGGCCAAAGGTGGTGGCTGGTCTTGGCTACGCAGTGGGGAGTCGGTGTAGTGGTCTGTGCACGTGCTCGTGACGAGGGCCGACCCAGGAGCGCAGGTGCCTGAGGGCCCCGACGCCGCCTTCTCTCCTCCTCTGTACATTCCGACCGCTGACCAACCAGCAAGGTCCAGGGAGGCCTAGCAGCTGTGACTCCTTCCTTGCCTCACCTTTCCTGGACCTCACATTCTCTACACCTCCATTTCCTGCTTGGAACCCAGCAAGTAACTTCAGGCTGGAAGAAAACAGATGCCCCAAGGCATCTGCATAATTAAACAGGCTCTGCCCCTGAGAGGGGGAGGGGTGACTCCGCCCTCTCCTGCCCAGTAACACGCACAGACCTGTGATGGCTCTCATGAGTGGCTGAAGCCATTTTTTTGTGCTTATTTCTGAGTTTGAGCCCTCCCTGGGTGAGTGACACCACCAGATACGTGGGGCCCAAATATTTGCAGAGATGGAAAAGTTCAGTTCTAAAGACTCATCCAAGAACGTCTTTTGTCCCCAACAACTATAGGAATATTGTATGAATTCTATACGGATAATTGATGGAGATGCTGAGTGTGTTCCCTGGTCCTGGCACATCCCCGCCCGGGCTCCCGGAGGGAAGTGGGGCTGGGAGGGCCCTGCCTGGGGCTGTGGGGCGGTGGTGATCTGGCCGTAGGAAAACAAGCTGCCTCCTGGCTTTGGATTTGCCAAAGTCCAGGCTGATGGAAAGGATCGTGCTGGACTGTCCAGCTGACAGTGGGGATGCGGGCCAGTGCTTGGGGCTTACTCTGGCTTCCTGGGGCTGCTGTAAAAAGGCACACAAACTGGGGGGCTTATAACAGACATTTATTCTCTCATCCTTCTGGAGGCTGGAAGTCTGAAATCAAGGTGTTGGCAGGGTCATCCTCTCTCTGAAGACTCCAGGGAAAAACTCTGCCTCGCCTCGCGCAACGTTCCAGCGTTGCTGGCCACCCTGGGTGCTCCTTGGCTTGTGGACATGTCAGTTCAGCCTTCTCCTCCGCTGTCACTTGGCTTTCTCCTTTGATGTCTGTTTCCTTTCTGCTCTTATAAGGGTGCCAGTCCTAAAAGAAGGCCCGCCCTATTCCAATATAATCTCATCTTAATTAATTACATCTGCAAAGACCCTATTTCCAAATGAGTTCACATTCCTGTTTTTTTTTTTTTTTACGATTGGCCCTGAGCTAATATCTGTGGCTAATCTTCCTCTTTTTTTTTTCTCCCCAGAGCTCCCCAGTACGTAGTTATATATTCTAGTTGTAGGTCCTTCTGGCTCTGCTGTGTCGGATGCTGCCTCAGCATGGCCTGACAAGCCGTGCTAGATCTGCGCCCAGGATCTGAACCAGCAAAACCCTGGGCTGCCAAAGCAGAGCAAGCAAACTTAAGAATTCGGCCATGGGGCTGGCCCCTGAGGTCACATTCTGAGGGTCCAGGAAGGACATACCTTTGGGAGGCCACTATTTAATCCAATGTAGACTGAGGAGTCAGGAGCAACCCTTGACAAGTGGGGCTTTGAGAATTTGGGGGGGAGACAGACAGTTTTGTGATGCCACAATTAGTAGGGACCCAGAATGCCGCCCCCATGGGGCCCCAGAGAGGTGCTAGGGACTCAGTCACAATGACTATCTGGTGGACTTAGAGGGGCTTGGGCACAAAGAGCTGTGACTACTTCCTCAGCAAAGATGCCTGGGTCCACGCAACAAAATCACCCCATCAAGGGAGCATGGGGCTTGTAAAGCAGAGGGCTCCACAGTGGCCATTGTAGACAATGACCAGAGGGTCCATCTCAACACTGTGAGCCGTGCGAAACCTCCACGTCATTCTCCAACCTGGGAGAGAAAGAGCCCCAGTGACTGAGATGGAATTTCAGCCCGCTATCAGTCAGTATACTTGATTATAGGAGTTAGAGAAAGGCGGTATTTCTTACACCCCATGATGTAGAATGAAATTCATAACAACCACACGTGAGGAATAGTTCCAGGATTATCTGAATTCTTTCGTCTTCTTTTTTTTTATTGTTGTATAATTGACATATAATATTGCATTAGTTTTAGGCATACAGCATAATGATTTGATATATGTATACACTGCAGAATAATCACCACAGGTCTAGTTAACATCGTCACCACACATAAGTTACAATCTTTTTTCTTGTGATGAGAAGTTCTAAGATCTGTCTTAGCAACCTTCAAATATATAATCCAGGGCAACACCATGGCCGAGTGGTTAAGTTTGCACGCTCCCCTTCAGAGGCCCAGGGTTTCACTGGTTCGGATCCTGGGTGCAGACATGGCACCGCTCATCAGGCCATGCTGAGGTGGTGTCCCACGTGCCACAACTAGAAGGACCGACAACTAAAAAGATATACAACCATATACTGGGGGGATTTTGGGAGAAAAAGCAGGAAAAAAAAGAAGATTGGCAACAGTTGTTAGCTCAGGTGCTGATCTTTATAAAAAAAAGAGAAAGACATTAGGGTCTGAGATTAGAGGCATTTGTTTAAAAATATATATATATACACAATCCAGTGTTAATTACAGTCACCATGCTGCATATTACATCCCCAGAACGGATTTATCTTACAACTAGAAGATAACTAGAGGTTTGTACTTTTGACTACCTTTACTCATCTTGCCCCTCCCTCGCCCCCGACTCCCCGCTCTGCCTCTGGTAACCACCAATTTGTTCTCTGTATCTATGAGTTCCTTTTTTATAGATTCCATACACAAGTGAGATCATACAGTATTTATCTTCATCTGTCCGACTTATTTCACTTAGCATAATGCCTTCAAGGTCCATCCATGTCACAAATGGCAGGATTTTCTTCTTTTTATGGCAGAATAACATTCCATTGTATGTATATGTGTTTGTATCTTATCCTTTTTCTATTCCTCTGTCAATGGACACTCAGTATTTGCATTCTTGTACAATCTATGGCTGATTACAACCCCATAAAATTGGATGCCATTGATTTTTCGACAAAGCCTTGACCCTTTTGGAGAGTTGGTCAACAGGGCTGAGTGAAGACTTTCATAAGTCCCAGCCGATTTGGGGAAAAGCAGTGGATTTTGAAATAATACTTAAAAAAAAACCTATAAAGTGCTTCGAAACTCCTGGGCAGATGCTAGGTAAGATGTTCAACAAAAATGTCAGAGAGAACACAAAGGCAGCCTCGCTTGAGTTAATGGCAGAGCTTTATTTTGCTGTACCCCAGGAGGACATCATGAAAGGGAAGGGCACAGATGGAGATCTTTAAGGCCTGTGTCTCAGATTCTGAATTTCTTCTGAAAAATTAGCTTTTTCCAGGAATACTAGAGCAGCCCCCATGTCTTTCAGCCTGGCCGTGCCACCTGAGGTGCAGGCTAAGCTGCTGGGATTGGTGGTAAGGCAGCCCAGGGTGGAAATCAATCAGAAAATAAGCAACCGTAGGTCCAGGTGGAGGGCAGTGGGAGTATTAAGTAGGTGGTGCCACAGTGACAGACACCCAAGGCCAGAAATGAGATCAACTCATGAAATACCCTCAGTGTATTAGTTTGCTAGGGCTGCTGTAACAAAGTGCGGTGAACTGAGCTGCTTAAACAGCAGAAGTGTATCGCCCCACCGTTCTGGAGGCTGGAAGTCCGAGATGAACGTCTCAGCAGGACCATCTCCCTTTGATGTGCCGGGAAGGGACGTCTCCACCAGTTTCTGGTAGTTCCCCAGCTGTGGTAGCGTAAGTCCAGTCTTCACCTGGCATTCTCCCTGTGTGTGTCTGTCTCCAAATGTCCTCTCTTTATAAGGACACCCGTCATGCTGGATTAGGGACCCACGCTCTCCTGTATGACCTCTGCTTAGCTAATTACATCCATGAAGACTCTATTTCCAATAAGGTCACATTCTGAGGTCCTGGGAGTTAGGATTTCAATATACGAATGGGAGGGGTCACAATTTGAGCTCTGCTCAGAGCAGCTTTTCTTCAGACGTGGCACCTGAACAGCTGAGAACTTTAGAAGAGGATTCAGGATCCACTGAAACCAGAGGACGCTTCAGGTCAGTTCCCTGAACACCCCCCTGAAGGCTGCCGAGGAGCCTGGGGTCTATGTCCGTACTCACATTAGAGTCTTCGGACAGAAGGAGACGGCCTGGGAGACTGAGCCACATGTAGCTCGGAAATTGCTCGTTTAAAGCACGCGTGGACACGTGCAGAGCTGTGTGCCGCTCTGCTGCATACTCAACCCCGCTGGCCCTGTGTATCCCCTCCTGCACCCCGGTGCTTGCCTATCCACTGAAGCAGGTGGAGGAAAGTGGGGTTCCAGGGGCAAGGAAGCCACTGCTCGCTCCCAAGAGTACGGGAGCAGGATGTGAACAGGTTGACCTCAGTGGCCTGTATTCGCCTGCTGGGATGGATGGGAATTTACCATGGCAACGAGAAGCCCTGACTGTCCTAGTGCAGGATCTGGGAAGCTTAGTGTGGACACCCTTCCACAGGCCTCCTGGGAACTGGCTGCTGAGGCACAGAGAGGACCCTTGGGACTGGTACACCTCAGAGACATGGCTCTCAGTTGATCCTTGAAGGAGTGGCCTGGAACCCAAGTGAAGGAACTACAACGTGGAGGAGACCCCCAGGGTCCCCAGCGAAGACCAGGAGCCCTGCTTAGCCCTACGGTGGGAAGATTCAGAGCCAGCCTCCTAAGGCTTAGGGAAGCCCAGTGACCCATGTTAGCTTTTCTTATGGTAGATGGCAGCCAGGAATGAGCCACAGCTGAACAGTGGGAACTGGGGTGTGATTGCTGTGATCATGGGGCGTCAGGGAGGAGCAGGGTCTGGAGACACTCCAACAGTGGGAAAGTAGGCTCTGCTGGCTCCTCTACTGTTCCCCTTTACTCCACACTACGGAGGTCCTAAAACTGGGGGGAAGAACAGGGAGGAGGAAGAGGGCACAGTCCTCTCTCACTGGGGACCAGATCTACTTTTGTCAAAGATTGACTGTCTTCCTCTCCAGCTGCCTTTAAGTCCAACATTGCTCCCCTAGACTTGAGGTTTATAGGGGCTTCACCAGATGAGGAAAATCCTAAGTTTGAGATGCATAGCACGTTGGGGAGTCGCCTCCACCTCCCCTTGCTGGGGACCCAGTCTTCCCCGCCTAGTCCTGAGGATGTCTGGGGAAGGTTCTGCACCAATTGACACACTGCTGCTTCGGGTAGGGAGCTAACATCCTGGAAACCCACACCTGGTCCTCTTGGAGGGACGACAGAGTAGGGAATATGTTTCCTTTTCAAAGACTCCAAGATTGTGTTTGGAGGTAGGAGGGAGAAAAGATGAGGTAAGACCATTCTGAAATATCAGTCTGTGTGTGGGTCTTGCTGTGAGGGTGTGTATATCCCCCATCCCAGAAGATAGCCAGCCTTTGTGTCCCCAGGCAGCCGGTGCTTTGTGTGGCGCTGCAGGAAGGAGCGGTTGCCAGGCACCCAGAAGACACCCCTCCTCCTGGCTTTTGTTTCGCCTGGGCCGATTGAGGGAACTGGGCTGCCTAACAGGGAGAGCCAGCTCTGAGCGCTCAGGGTAGGAAAGCCCCAAGCAACCGCAGGAGAGAGAGACTTTCCAGAGCTCCCTCTGGAACTGGGAAAGGAACGGGGGCTTTTGTGCGTTCCACACCTGGAGCTGCAACAGTCCTCTCCTCTGAATGTTCTCATTGTCTTGAGCATTTTGGGGCAGCGCTGGCAGAATCTCAGGGGAAGAGATTTTAGATTCACCCACAAAGGCTCCCCCTCCCCTCCCCACTCAGTCCTTGTGGAAATTAGAGATGCCCCGAACTGTCTCTCTCACACACAGGGGTTGGTGAGCAGGGAGCAGAACGCACTTCAGTTTCCCCTAGCTCCTTCACTTACCCAGATCTCGTCAGTCCTCTCTCTTCCCAATTCATTATAACTATTTTTAATCCTTCTATTGGATTTTTCCACGTGTCTCCAGTTCTCACTATAGCACCTCCCAACTTCTGTAACTAAACTTATTTTTACATTCTTTTTATTTTTATTTTTGGAAGATTAGCCCTGAGCTAACATCTGCTGCCAATCTTCCTCTTTTTGCTGAGGAAGACTGGCCCTGAGCTATCATCTGTGCCCATCTTCCTCTACTTTATATGTGGGACACCTGCCACAGTATGGCTTGACAAGCGATGTGTAGGTCTGTACCCGGGATCCAAACCAGTGAACCCTGGGACACCGAAGTAGAACATGCGAACTTAACCACTGCACCAACTGGCTGGCCCCTACATTCTTAATATTTATAGCATTTATGTTTTTAGTTTCTCCTGCTGTAAATAATTTATTCATGCTTCCTCTATTGATTGATTTTAAAAACTAGTATTCACCATACAGCATTTACAACAGGATGATTATGAATATATTATTCTCTGGAGAACTAAATGAAGTAATGTGATGGGATACATAAGGAAAGAAATGTGCTCCTGTCACTCAAAGCTGTGACACTAGAAGAAAAAATACATCCAAGTGTTGAAATCAATTATTTATTTTCTTACACTCTATCAATTGCTCAAAATTATACCCTATTTTAGATTGCTTTATATTTGAGCCTTGACTTTCTTAGAGGGATGTTTGTTTTTCTTTTAGTTTCCAGTTGCCTTTGTTTTTTCCTAAAAGAAGCATATGCCTTTACCTTTTCACTAAGGTTGTCTTGCTTCTTAATATTTGCCAAGGTGAAGCCACTTCTTTGACTTCTTGTTTTAATTTGAACAGGTTGCTCCCCAGGTCTGGTGCATGATCTTCATCATGGGTTAGTCTCCTCTTTCTCGACATGGTACCTTCATTCTTGGATTTATATCCTCAATATATTTTTTTTCAAAGGAGTTAGTAAAAAACCGTCTGAGGTATGTATGTCTGAGAATACTTTATTTTGCCTGCATGTTGAAGTAATGGTGCGGGTTGATATACAACTCTGGGTGAAAAATAATTCTTCTTCCAAACTTTGAAGGCATTCAGCAATAGGATGTCCACTTGATTTTCATTCCTTTTAGAGAAACTATGACATTCTACCCCCTCAAAATCTTTTAAGTTCTTTTATTTATCCCTGGTATTCTGAAATTTCATATCTTAGTATGAATCTTGTTTTCTTTCCACCTATTAATCCCTCTCAACACTTTTCAATCAGAATTGTTAAAATTTTCCTTATATTTTAGAAATATTCTTGTATTATATGAAAACTTATTTTCTCCCTTTTACATTCTCTATTTTTTATTTCCGGAACTCCCTTTGACCAGATTTTGGGTTGATCCTGCATGTATTAGCTATCTATTGCTGTATAACAAATTACCACAAACTCAGCAGCTTGAAACAAAGCACATTTACTGTTTCACAGTGTCCATGGGTCAGGAGTCTGGCATAGCTCAGGATCTCAAAAAGCTTTAATTGAGGTGTCAACTGGGCTGCAGTCTCATCTGGAAGCTTGACTGGGGAGAATCTGCTTTCAAGTTTGGCAGAATTCATTTCCCTGCAGCTGTGGGACTGAGGGCCCAGCTTTTTGGGGGTTGTTGGTTAGAGGTTGCTCTCAGCTCCTAGAGGCTACTCTCAGATACTTGCTACTTGGCCTCCCAACGTGGCTGTCCTCCTCTTCAAAGCCAGCTGGGGAGAGAATCCCTAGCACTAGTCTTCTAGCAAGAAAGGGTCTTCAACGGAACAGAATCGAGAGCCCAGAAGTAAACCCACACGTTTATGGACAGCCAATATTCGACAAGGGAGCCAAGAGCATGTGATGGAGAAAGGAAGTCTCTTCAATAAATGGTGTTGGGAAAACTGGACAGCCACATGCAAAAGAATGAAAGTAGACCATTCCCTTACACCATGCACAAAAATCAACTCAAGATGGATTAAAGACTTGAATGTAAGACCCGAAACCATGAAACTTCTAGAAGAAAACATAGGCAGTACGCTCTTTGACATCAGTCTTAGAAGCATATTTTCAAGTCCCATGTCTGACCGGGCAAGGGGAACAAAAGAAAAAATGAACAAATGGAACTGCATCAAACTAAAAAGCTTCTGCACAGCAAAGGAAACCATCTACAAAATGAAAAGACAATTTCGTTTTGGGAAACTAACAATTGGGAGAAGATATTTGCAAACTCTATATCAGATAAGGGATTAATATCCAAAATATACAAAGAGCTCATACAACTCAACAACAAAGAAACCAACAATCCAATTAAAAAATGGGCAGAGGATCTGAACAGAGATTTCTTTAGGGAAGATATATGGATGGCCAACAGGCTTATGAAAAGATGTTCAACGTCATTAGCTATCAGGGAAATGCAAATCAAAACTACAATGAGGTATCACCTCACTCCAGTCAGAATGGCTATAGTTAACAAAACAGGAAACAACAAATGTTGGAGAGGATGTGGAGAGAAGGGAACCCTTGTATACTGCTGGTGGGAGTGCAAACTGGTGCAGCCACTATGGAAAGGAGTATGGAGTATCCTCAGAAAATTAAGAATAGATCTACCATAAGATCCAGCTATCCCACTGCTGGGTATTTATCCAAAGAACTTGAAAATGTGAAGGCATAAAGATACTTGCACCCCTATGTTCACTGCAGCATTATACACAATAGCCAAGACTTGGAAGCAACCTAGGTGCCCGTCAAGGGACAAATGGATAAAGAAGATGTGGTATTTATACACAGTGGAATACCACTCATCCATAAGAAACTATGAAATGCGGCCATTTGTGACAGTATGGATGGACCTTGAGGGTATTATGCTGAGTGAAATAAGTCAGAGGGAGAAAGTCAAATACCATATGATCTCACTCATAAGTAGAAGATAAAAACAACAACAAACAAACACATAGCATTGGAGAATGGATTGCTGGTTACCATAGGGGAAGGGGGGGAGGGCAAAAGGGGTGCTTAGGCTCACATGTGAGGGGATGGACTATAATCAGTTTTTGGGTGGTGAACATGATGTAATCTACACAGAATTCAAAATATGTTATGATGTACATCCGAAAGCTATATAATGTTATAATCCAATGTTACTGCAATTAAATAAATAAAATTTAAAAAAAAATCTAAGCACTAACTGAGAAAAAAAAAAAAAGAAAGGATCTTGTATAATGTAATCACAAAGTGACATCCCATCGCCTTTGTCTTAGTTCACTAGAAGAAAGTCACAGGTCCAGCCCACACTCAAGGGGAGAGGGTTATACCAGAGTGTGAACACCAGGAAGCAGGGGTCATGGAGAGGCCCACCCTAGAGTCTGTCCACTGAACACCAGGTCTCTTAGTCAGCCCCCAACCCCAACACAGGTTTTCATTTTTAAATTTTTTTTCCCTTTAATCTATGCTCTGGAAGATTTTTCTCTCACTTATTTGCCTCTTCTTCCTGAAAATACAAGGCCCATGAAGTAGGAGAAAAATCACCTACTAGTGTGACATCCTAGAAGTCTAGCGAAGGACGTGTTTCAAAGAGGAGAGAGTGGTCAGCAATATAAAAGCTGTGTCTCATTTGCTAATGTGTCAAGAAAGATGAGGACTGATAACTCACCATTGGATTTAGCAACATGGCATCATCGTGCCTCTGGTCAGAACAGTTTTGGTAGAATGATGGGGGTAGAAGCCTGTTTGACGTGGCTTCAAAAGAGAATGAGAGGAGAAGAGCTAGAGCCAGAAACTATAGACAACTCTGTGGAGGAGTTTTTCTGTTAAGAGAAATAGAGAAAATGGGGCAGGAGTTGGACAAGGATGCAGGCTGGAGAGAGATTATGTAAGACGTGAGACTTCTTGCATGTTTATATGATGACAGCAGTAATCTAGGAGAAAAGAGCAAAAAATAAAGTGACACATGAGAGAAAAGGGACAACAGCTAGAATAACAATCTTAAATAGATAAAGGACAACAGAGTCCAATGCACCAGTAGAAAGGTTGTCCTTAGATGGGAGCGCAGACAGTTTGTAATAAGAAGAATAATGATGGTGGGGAAGGGACAGGCTAATAGCAGGAATGTGGCCTCCTCCCCACTGAGTGGATGTGGAAGGCCATGGTTGAACTTCAGCAGACCTCCCTATAAATATGTTAATGATATTTACTGTTAGAGAGAGAGAGAGAAAGAGAGAGAGAGAGAGAGAGAGCACCACCAGGTGTCAAGGTGGTAATTAAGACAACCTAGAGTTATATAACGACCCACACATCACTGCAACGTGAAAGCAAAATACAGACATTCTCAGATATGCGTTTCTCAGAAGATGGACTACTGTTTGCCCTTCTGAAAAAAAACATTGAGGGTGAACTTCAGCAAAACTTAGAAATGAATCCAAGGAGGACGAAAGCATCAGGTCGAGGCTGTTTATCGTAAATGAGCATGGGATTCGTGGAGTTATGCAGCATCTCTGGCTGCAGGATGGACAGCATCCAGCAAACATTGTTCAGAAACCAGCTGTGAATCTGAAAACAAATACATTCTAATGGGGGAGAAAGAGACATTTTTAAGGGGCTGCGTCTGACAGATTTGGGCTCCTTCTGAAAGAAATGCTGCATCTACACCTGTTTCTTATCCAGGGTCTTCGAACTCTTGGTGAAGTTTGGTGCTGGGTAGACCCACGATTCAAAGGAGTCTGCTTGGCCATCAACCCTTCTCCTCTGAAGGCGGGTGGGCAGGTGCTGCTGTAGGAGTGTGGGGGGCACAACAGCTTCTCTAATTTACTTCTTAGTTCTCTTGGGTTCCCTGGGTAAACTATGATTTCTCCAGAATTAGTCATTCTGTTTATTCCTCTTGGTCCTTCTCTTTTGACACTCATTTTAGGAAGCTGCCCTTGGTTACCTGGCAACAAGCTGGCTGATACTGATGGTTCAAGCCTCTGGGGAGCAGAGCCTGAAATTTCCTGTGTAATCAGGTGCCCCACCTGTCTCCTGCTCCCCGAATTCAGCTTCTCACTGCAGCAGACACCCTCAAATGCTCTAGAGGTGGACAGCTGGCCTTTCCCAGGAGGTTCCTAAATAACTGGCACTCAGCGCTCCGGGCCAGAACGGTTATTTTTCTCATCCAAGACCACAGTAATGCTCACTTTATTCGAATCAAGAGCCACAGGAATCAGGGGCTGTCTGCTGGAGCACAGCCCCACCGTGTATTCAGCGGCTCCCTAAATCAAGCCCGGCTCTCTACAGGATGTGAGAGAGTAGCATCCTCCCAGCTTCCACCACGTCAAGCGCTGGTTTGGCGATGGTCTGGTGATCCTTGGTTGTCCTTTCTCACCTCTGTGTGAAGGGCTAGACTGATTCATGGAGGGCTTGGCATGCTTTCCAAAGCCGCTGTGTAGGTCTCTTCCCCAGTGATGCTCTTCCTGAAGCCGGCATGCTGTCACGGTAGAGGTATGTGTGCGTGTGTATTCGTGCGTGTGTATGTGTGCATGTGTTTGCGTGTGTGCACGTGCCCTGAATGACAGGGCTTACTTTGGGGTGGAAGCCGTCTAGGGAACACATAGGCTAATTTTGTTGACACAAATGCTAGGGCTTTACTTTGTGCACCAAAGTCCACCCTTGGAGCCCTAAACCTGGGGTGATGGGTCCCTCTCTCTCCTTAGCTACCACTCCATGTGTTTTACTTTGTCCGCAGGGCCAAAGACGATAGCGGCCAGTTGCTTGCGAAGTGTGAGATGAGGGAAGATAGCTGGCAAGGAGCCTCCAGCTCTGCTATTCTGTGCAAGTCTCCAATAAACGCCGGCCTCCCGCTCCCACCCTGGACTGCCGATGCCAAACTGACCGCCCCCGGAGTGGGCACAGGGGACCAGCTGCCGCCACCTCTCCTGCAGCTTCTCCTAGGAGCAGCTGGAGGGCCGCTCTTGCTGCTCAGTACTTCCCATCTTCTTTCCATGTGCCAGAAGTCAGTCAGAATCTCTAGTCCACTCCTCGCCTGCCATGGTTGTTTTCCTCGCTGAATTTCTTTGCTTGTAACATATACTCATCCAGCATTTTGTACCAGAAACCTAACCCCTTCATTTCAACAGGGGGCTCTGAGCCCTGCCTTTTGTGTGTACAGGAAGTCAAAATAGGACACTTTTGCTCTCAATTTTGACTACAACCTCAAAAAATTACATCGAAAATAACAGGTGTCAGGTGCTGCCACACTACCAGGGGAGGCGCTGCGCCACCTAGGCATGGCTAGCAGAGGAAGCGACCATAGAGCTGTTTGCATGGCCCTCCTAGCCTGGCAGCTACAAAAGGTATAGGAGGTTGGGGTTGAAGACGGAGGCCCTTGGACAAGGTGCTGGCAAGCTGAGGCTCTTCTCCTCCCCATCCCAGACGTTGGGCAAGGGCGGGCTGCTTGCTCTTTACTTGAGCCTCTTGAGAAGGGCTTCAGAGACACCCTCGGAAAGCTTGATGAGCGTTTCTTAGAGTTTGGGAATGAGTTTGAGCCATATAAAGGCAAAGCTTAAAGGCGAAGTGGAAGCCATGTATGAAGACAGGAAAGGCAAGAGGGTAGTGGTGGGGGCAGGTGGCATACTCAAGGATGCTTGAGCATAGCGTGGACTAAGGGGACATGAAGCTTGTCACTGGATCCATCCGGAAAGAGCCCCACACAGGAGAGCAGCCCAGTGAGGTAACCCCATTAGCATTAGGGTGAAGGAGGCCCATTGAGTCTGTGCTGAGGGTAGGGCTTGTTACAACAGTTCATTAGGGAATGACTTACCCATGTCAGGGACCTGAGCAATGTGAGGTTTCACAGGGGCCTCTGAAGAACCCCTCTGCACTCAGAGAAAAACGTCAGCCTGGAACCTCCATACCCCATGCTCAGTGAGAGCCCCAGATCAGCTGGTAGAGAGGAGAAAGAAGTCAAGGAACTAGAAAGGATACTGACCACGCCCCTCTTGCCCATCGCAAGTTTCCAGCCTGAAGGCGGCCTGAACTGGATAAGAAAGAAGCTTTCCCTGAAGAAGGTTCGGAGATCTTACTATGCATGGATCTAGATATTGATATTGAAATAAAGCTGTTACCATGACTAGGAGTAACTGGAGGTCTTTTTTATTTTCTGAGCGTTATTCTAAGATTCGTGGAGCCTGTCTCAGATTTTATCCAGCAGGCAGAGAAGAAATACCTCTACCGGTGGTGGGTGAGGGCAGTGAAGAGAAAGACGAGAGCTGTTTCCTGCTTGCACCCCAAGGAGGTTTCATCTCCATTCTGCTCCTTCAGATCCAACTTTCAAACATACCTTTTGAGGAAAGATGACATTGGAATTAGAGATAGCAATTTAGATGAATAAAGACAACACGTATGTGGTCAAAGTGTCCAGATGTGGTGAGAGTCCTTCAGGATTACTTCATTAAAAATAGGTGGATCACCTACTGTGTGTCGTGACCTGGGCTGGGCATGGGGGCTACAACGTGAAGAAGAGCGAGCCTGTGCTGCACAATTCTAAGTCCGATGGGAGAGTCAGACGTGAGAACAAATAAATATGGCACGAAGTGACATCACGATACAGATGTAGACACAGAATCATGTGGAAGCCTTTTCAGATCTCATTATGTTCATTTGCATTTGTTATCTGCATATCCTTAAAGTTAAAATTTACTTGGGGAGAGCCACTAACCTAAATTTGGGATTTCCTAGTAGGGAAATGGGCAGACCACGAGGTAGAGGGGGAGGGGCCGGGCCCAGGTCATAGGAAGGTTGACTCCGGCGGGCTGAGAGAGTTTGTCCACCTCATGACTTTGCTGAGAGCCCGAGCTACTTGCCAAGGAACCAGTTTTGTGGCAGCTATTATGCAAACTAAACCCAACTCTCTGGAATTAGAGCAGGTAGGAATTGGCACGGCCATATGCCTTTTTTCTTTCACGTATTAAAACAAAAATCTTAACAAAACTAAAGCTATTTCTTGCTCTCCACTTTTGGATTTGGCAAACGTTATGGTGAATGAGGAGAAAATGGAAAAATTTTAAATGCTTTTGGCATTTTGGCCTAGTCAAAGACAAGAATTAAAAGTGAGAATAATTATAATCTTTAACATTTTAAGTTCTTCAAATCCTTTTCCTTAGAGATTCTGAAATGAGCAAAGTACAGGGACTACAATGCTTTTTTCAAAGGTCTTGAGGAAGATATTTTTTGATGCTGCTATTCTGGCACGTTGAGTAAGATCCACTCCTCAGCTATATGGTATTTTGGCCATCCAGCTATTTAAGGATTACATTAAATCTGACAACCATTGAATTAACATATTTGGATTTATTTCTCTGTATAGAATCTTTAACAATTTTTGTATGGAGAGAACAGAGCACTACATTTAGCCTTTTATTTTAATTTTTTAAACATTCAACCTTCCTCTCTTTGAACCTAATTTACTCGAGGCTGGGGTTTTTTTCCCCAAGTGATGGAGTAGCTTTGCGCAAAAGAATTATCAACTTTTACTGTGTCCATATAACCGCCATATAATTCAAAGGAAGGTCCTATGCTTTCCCTTCCTAGCCCACCCTCCAAATCTCTCATAACAGCTACCCTTTCAAAAATAAATTTAAATTATTAGTAGCAATTTTGAATGTGATCTACAGTACTTACTTGTGAGAAAGATTGTACTATTTACTATAAATTAAATACATTGACCGTGTTTTGGGTGTGTCATGAAGGCTCTGAAGAGTTCCTTCGCGCCCTCAAATACAAGAAAGGTTTCTAGTCTTCACAACATCACTGCCATGGTTAAGAAACTCATCCGCCGTGTTCCCACTGCTGAGAACTGTGCCTCGCCCATCGCAGCCAGTCAACTAACGTGTGTTGAATAAATGAATGAATGCTTGATGGCTATTCTAAATGGACAGGAGGATCTGTTACTTCGGTGTCCAAAGCCATCATTCTTAGTCGTTGGTATCTGAAGGGGTCAATACATGGCACGTCCTGTCTCCCCTGCTTGAGGTCAGGACCAGCTGAGAGACCAAGGCAGGAATAGTGCAGAAGGAGATCAAAATACCGCTGTAGATCCTGACGAAGCTCTTCTGGGGACAATGGCCAAGTGGTTTGTTAGCACTAAACTCCAGAGCTCCACAAGTTCACCCACCAGCTGGACTGGTGTACCCATCCAGCCCAGGCTGCTCCGGGCAACTGCATTCCTCTCCTTTGAGGCAGAGCCTGGAGACCGACAGCAGAGTGGAGCAGAGAAAAGTGGAGAAGACTTGGGATGTGCAGGCCTGGTGTTTTCTCCAAGCTCGCTCATCAGAGCAGTTGCTTCTCTCCCCCGGGAGAACTGAGTTACGGGTGCAGAGAGCCCAGGTGTCTGACTCCCATGGAGGTCTCTCCATAGAGAAGCAAACATCAAGAGAGGGAACAAGGGGCTGGCCCGGTGGCATAGTCGTTAAGTTCCCCTGCTGCACTTCAGTGGCCCAGGGTTCACAGGTTTGGATCCCTGGCACCAGACCTACACGCCGCTCATCAAGCCATGCCATGGCATTGTCCCACATACAAAAAATAGAGGAGGATTGGGAAAGATGTTAGCTCAGCGACAGTCTTCCTCAAGCAAAAAGAGGAAGATTGGCAATGGATGTTAGCTCAGGGCCGATCTTCCTCACCGAAAAAAAAAGAAGAAAGAAAGGGAATAAGTACACCCCCTTGACATCAGTATTCAGTTTCTCCATCAATGGTGAGCCATCTCATAAGGGAGGTCTGATGTCCTCTTAGGGCTCAAGCCCCCACCCGTCGTGAACCCCAAACTATCTGTTCTTCCTCAGGCTCTGGAACGAACACCCCCTGCATCCTTTTCTGGCCAGTCCTAGCTCCTCCACCAGCCTCCTTTAATGGGCCAGACTCTCAGGACAAAAAGGTCAGTGGGGCAAGAAGGGCTTATTCTGAGAGACGCCCACCTTCTGTTCTGCGATAAGAATATCCCTGAAGCTGTGGAGCACGTAGTCAGAATCTAGTTTCTTAGGAAACGAAAGGAGGAAAAACAACTCTCCTCCTTCACATTTCCTACAGAATTAAGAATCAAATGCCAATGTGTATTCTAAAAATTCTTTTTACCTTTTTAAAATTGCATTTACAATTTAAATAATCGGCCTTTTGGGTGGCTTGGTTTAAAATTCAGCACTGATGAGGGGGATGAAAGATAACATTTAACTCTTGCTTCTCCTCACGTGACATTGATGATTTAGCACCAGAGCTCAGTAATTGTAGGAGGACAGAAAGAAGTCTTTTTTGGAAAGCTGGGACTCTGGCCAGTTATAAAATAGTCAATTCTCAGTGTTCTCCTTCAGAGTGGGCCTTCTGGTGGCCCAGGCAGCTGCCTGCTGAGAGACATGTCTGACTCAACATGACTTTCAAAACAGATCTGCCGCCAGGAAGGCCGGCTTCGAAATGTAACCATAAACGCATCCGTGGACGGGCTTTCTCCCTGGACGCAGATGAAGAGAGAGGTCAGCTGGCTATCACTTGCCACAATCTTGTGCACGAAGGGGAGCCAGATTTACGCAGTTGGAACAGTAAAAGAGAGATGCTGGTCCTTAATGACATCTTTGAACTCACAAGTCAAATCAATCCTCTTCTGCCTCCTAAATTTTGAGTTTCATGAGCCTATAAAACATCTTCATTATTTGAAACAATAAGTAGATAGAAAATTTTTTAAAGGAACGGTAAGGTCTTTAGCTATTTTCCACCATAAATTTGGCTTTTTAAATCAATTCCTGTCACGAACCAGGCTTTCAAGAACCGTAGCACGAGGCAGCTATATTTTGATAAGAGGGGAGGGAAAGAAAAAAGAAGGAGGAACAGAAAAGGGAGGGGGAGGAAGAGGAGGCGAGAAAAGTAGAAAGGAATCTTTAATGCCAGCCTCTGGACCCAAATTTTCACCAGACTGAAACAAAATGAGAAAAGTAAAAACTGTGCAGAGAGTTTTTCATGAAGGTAAAGTCACTCACTTTAAAGGACTTTATTCTGGGATTGTGTTCTTCCAACTATTGTTTGGTATTGAAATATCCATTAAAAAAAAAACATGAATGTTGGTGATAATAGATAGTAGTTGCTTTTTTTTTTTTTTTTTTTTTTTTTTCAATTTCCCCACCTGACATAGAAACTGGGCAACTTGATCACGGTCCACACTATGGAAATAAAATTGTATTGGTCCATGACATCCAAGATTTAAGAACCATTTCACCAGAGGGTGAGCTGAGGGCCGTGAATGTCTGGGCTCGACAGGAGCCGAGTTGAGGCAGAAGAGAAGGAAGCTGAAGCTGACAGGGATAAGGACGTGGGAAAGCTCAGGCGAAGAGGCAGCGAGGCCCATGGAAGGAGCGGAAAGGGCCATCAAAGGGAGAATTAAGGGGCTTTCCTTTGTGTGATCTTTGACCTCTTAAATGAAATATCTGTATTTCACAGTGCCTGGTGCAATGAGCACTATATAAGTGTTTTCTGTTATAGGATTAATATAATTAATCCATACTTATGTAAGGAAGAAAAAAAAGAAAAGAAGAAAGCTACTATTTAATATTTGATGCCTGGCATCCATTATCTCCTTGGATCCTCACAAACTGTCTTTCTATCCCCTCTTTACAGCTGAGGAAACTGAGTCCCTGTGCAATTATCTAAGGCCATAGGGGATGAAGGCCTAATTTGAACCAAGGCCGTGTTCTTTCAGCTCCATCGCACCGCCTCCGGGTGAGGGTACCCAAAACACAACAGCGCACGAAACTGCTTACGTGAAGGTTCAGACTACATGATGATGCCAAAACTTTCACTGCAGAATGTTTACCATCCCTGTCGTATTTAATTCAGACCAATGGTAAAATGAATCTATCAATTCTGGGATCATGGACCGATTGCCAATAAAATGTCTGAGGTTTGCCCAGAAGGGCGGGGGGTGAGTGAGATTAGGATTGGCAGAATCTTGTTTTGTTTTGGAATTTTAATGCTTTAGCCACAGAAGTACACAGCAGAAGATTGAAAAACAGTCTGGCTTCTCAAAACTCTTTTATAGAACTTCCTCCGAGGGGTGTGGGGAGGAAGCGGAGGAAGAGTGGGGATTAAAAA